AAACGCACAAGCGAAGAGATTCCTTGCAGACGGCATCTAGGAAGGGTAGCTCAAATAACTGGTCGTGGGGGATGTCTTCGCCGAAGACTTCGCGTGCTTCTGCTAACTCTTGGCGTAATTTATCCTGGACTTCTTGGTCTTCTGCTAAGAAATTTAGTGTGCGAGTGAAGACGTTCGACGTAGTATCTGTTCCAGCAAAAAGCATCGTTCTATATGGTAAGAGTCAGGTGCGTCTGATGTTCTACCTAATCACTAGAATTTACGCACGTTATTTGAGCAAGCATCTCTTCATCGGTCAATTTATCCTCTGCGCTGGATCGCGCGTTAGCCTTTACTGGAGGAAAATAAATATCAGACCGTGACTCGAGAAACTAGGATTTAGCTTACGTAGGATACTCATTACGTCCTTGCCTCGGTTGACTTGCTCTACCATGACCTCGTCCCCTTTTTCTAGGGCATTCTTTTTGTCGTAGAAGATTTCCTTAGACCCGACGTCCATGGTATTCACAATGTCGCGCATCTTGCCTAAGTTTTCGTCAGGAATGATTGCCACGGCTAGGTCGGCGAGTTTTCGACGAAACTGCGGCGAGCCCAATTTCACCAAGAAGTCGGCGAGTAGCCTCCAGACGAATAGAGAAAATGCCACAGGACTGTTCTCGCCGCACTTAGTGACTGGTGACAAGATAGACATGGCGACTTACGAGAGGCTCTTCATCGCTTCTCCTAACGCATTCGGAATTTGTACACCAGGTGAAAGGTTGTCAAACGAGTGACCCATACCACCTTGCCCAATCAATTCCATTGCAGTCCGGCTGACCCAGTGCATGATGTCAATTTCATCCGACTCGCCACTGTCGATCGTAGACCTGATAGCGCGCTGCAGCTATTGAACAAGTTATTGAATGTAGCAATGGAAAGGGACGACATAGGCACCTTATGCGCGATCTCATAGAATGTTGGGGTCATATTTCGCATGGCGGCGACAGAGAACCCGGAAAGCAGCATCTTTCGCTGTCGTCTGTGCTGACTTCCTGCCATCGCAAATAAAATGCAGATTTAATTTGAAGACTGTCAGACCTACGAGTATGCGCGCACCTCGTACAGACAAGATTCCAGGCCCGAACATGACCAAATTGGCTCTACAGATGACGTAGCATCAGCGTATTGTATAGGACAATTTAGCGTGAACAACGAACGAGTAGGCGAAGGATGGCTGTTCATAATACACACCGTCCTTTGTAAGCACTTGCTGAAGAGCAAGGGGATCAAAAACGTAGAGCACATCCGACTGGGACGACATGTAAGTACAGGTTAACACAGCAGGGGCGACGAGCTTACGCCAAACATCCCATGGAGGTGAACGACGCCACCGTACTTCTCAGCTATCTCGGCTTTATACCCCCATCCTTTGTGGCGGTCGAATAAAATTTCCATGTCACCTGCGAGCACATCAGAAATATAATTTCCCCAAAGCGTCACTGAAAGAACATACCTGATACACGAGAATAGGGTACGGGTCCTGCCACATTCTGTAAAGGATTCTTCTTTGTAAACGAGCGTAAGATTTTGAATAGGACCCATAAGGTCACAAGGAGCATTCCAAGTTGAACGGACAAAATTGCCATCTTGTCCAAGGTCACAACTAGGGAGCGCGAATCAGGGGAAGGAGCGGATGTACACAGTGGGAGAGAATGAAGGGGGGTGAGGTTTCTTCTCCGTTATTAAAGCTTCTGGGCGATCCCTGGAAACAAAACCAAACTACGCTCCCATGCTGACCCGCCCAGAAGAACATAAGCTAGCCCGGGCCCGTCTCCGAGAGGCCATCAATGCAGGTTATCCTAGTGTTGTTCCGCATCGGCTAGTACGGTTCGTGAGATATCCCCTCTGTTCAACGTTCGTCGATCCATACAGAGCTATGATGTTGGAATGAACCATGGTGTATTCAAGTCACCACTTCCTGTGGCGGCGCGGAGGTAGCGTTGTTCAGTGCGCATGGTGCAACCTCCGGTATTGAACGAGAGGTGGGAGCAGAACGCTGAGGCACAAGGACAACGCCGTGGTCCCTGATGGGATGTGTGAATGGCGAACACCGGGCAGACGCTCAGGAAGCAGCACAACGTAACATATCCCATGAGGAAGGAGTTGCCCACAACGCCGTCATCGCTGTGATAGAGCGGTCATGTTCAACTCCAGGCAAGGAGTATAGTGGGACGAACCGTGTCCATGTGTACTTTGCACACTCATGACAAGCAGCATAAATGACCGATGTCGAATCCGAAAACTTCAGCTTGTAGATCTTCAACGGTTTACGACATTTTCCGCGCTGCAGCGGATAAGAGGAGCGTGTCTAGATACACGAATATGAAATGTTCATTACGCCAGAACGGAATATTGTTCGATGAGAATGCAACAGACCGTATGTATACGGATATACCAGACTTCCAGGTTTACCGCTGATCATGCTAGATGAGCACGTAGTGACCGTGTGAAGTGTTGCTGTGGTAGTCGCCTAGACTGAACGGACTGCTCAAGGCACGTTTCATCAGTAAAGCAGTATCATGCAAACCACTCCCCATAACATATGCAAAAACCGCACGGAAGCCCAATCCCGGGCAGAGTATATACCTGATGACAGTTCAGATTACCCCTTATCAGCTGCACACTGTACTGCATGGACAATGACACTCACCTCGTAACCTATGACCCAAACGTAGAAATGGGTACCCAAGATCAGGTCTGCCGACCAGTATAATAGCTTTACAATTTTACGATTGCATTTGCTGTCCGTAGACTGACTGACTGTCATCTGTTGTTACAAGGAGGAGCCGGGAACCAAAAGAGAAAAGAGTCCAAGTAGCATCGGCAATTATGTCGTTCAGTCGCCTTCCTCTGTCATCGCGTCACCCGGAGTTGTCGAGTCTTGCGCTTGAAGCGGGGCGTTCGTCAGAGACGCTCGTGAGCTGGTGAAGGATCCGGGCATAAGGTTTGCAGTCCCGTCAAGCTTGCCAGCAATAACTTGACCGGCTTCTTTGACAAGAGTCGCATGTGTATCTTGGAGGGCGTCGTCGCGCTTGGAGAGCACGGTGCGGTGGGCATCGAGAGCTTGGTCAAGATTTGCGTAGAGCAGCAGCTTTGTGCTGCAAGAGTAGTCAGAAATGGTTCAGATTTCGACGATAAGGCCAAGAGGAGACTTACGTCATATGGTCTTTCACCTACGAGTTATGAACTCGGTGAGAACACCATGACAATCTGAACTGAAATGTGATACATACGAAGTCTAGGAGTTTAGTGAACTTGATCACCAGCTCTGGGAATACAAGATCACGTTAGCGACACCACGTTGGTGGCAGCACGCAGTTGAAGAGGCATTGAAAGTAGGGCGAGAAATAATCTTACCGTCAGCACCGGCCTTCCACTCGTCTACAGTGCATTCTGTCCACTTCTTTCTGGCTTGTTCGTATGCCTCGGTATGTGTATCAACGTACGCATCTAAGTCTTGCCCGAGAAGACGACGCAAAGCGTGCTCCTCGCGGCTGATGTCCCCAGCAGAAGTTGAAGCGGGTGCTTCGTATACGGAAGCGTCTCGTCCGGGTACACGCTGGGCTTGCTCTACGAAAGGTGCATGAGCTTGTTGCATCTGGAAAGGATTATCGTCGTATGCGGTTTCTTGACTCGTCGGGTTGTATTGCGAAAGTACCGGCGGCTCGCTTGCATAGTAAGCATTCTGATGCGTACAAGGGTAGACAGTGTCAAGGCAGAGTATATGCGTATTTCAAGGCCCGATCACCTACCTGTTGATCGTCCTCTACACCAGCCCTGCTCTTCTTGGTTTGATGACCGTACTCAGAGCTTTCTTCTACCTCATCTGTGCGCAGAAACCGTTTCTGAACGCGTCTGAGACCAGGCTTCATAGGCTCGCCGCGGTCAAAACCAGCATTGTTGCTGTACGGCACGTCCATCTGGATGGGATGTTGCTGCTCTGGGATAGGCGAAGACGAGCTATGGTACATGTCGATACTGTCGTGATGTCCAGCTTGAGTATTGTTGTTCGTGTACTGTTGCATATTCTCTTCTTCTTCTGCTACCTCGTGAATCTTCTCCAAGGAAGGGCGAGAGGACGAGCGTATCCGAGAATGAGAAGGCGGTCCAGGCTGCGGTAAGTTGGATGTATGCGCGCTGTCCGAGAGGTCAAGACCAGGCGGTTTGGCAGGTATATGCGCTTGATTGGAACCGAAACCATCAGTGGAAGAGGTAGAGGGCAGAGTTGGAGCTGATGTCGGAAGGGCAGCCTTTCTAAACGCAGAGACAGGAACAAAACCAGCCGTGCTAGGGAAGAACGGAGAAGGCATAGCGATACGCATAGACTGATGAGCAGAACGAGGATTCGGAGAGCGAGCGCGAGAAGCATCTTCATCGAAAGATTTGTTACCGAAAGGCAGAGCGACGTTATGCGGTTTCTTCGTCTTAGCAAAGCCAGCTAGGTTAAGAGGTTTGTTGACCAAGGAAGCGATGTTTGAGCCTCCTCGCTGGTGAGGATTGCCAGGTACCTGTTGCTCGTGATTGCCCTGGACAGAATCAAGTAATCCATTCGGTTTGAAGGTCACGTCGTCCAGCTTCGCTTTCGCGTCAGGATTAGAGCCGTTTGCTTGTCTAGATGCAGGGCGTTGCTGAGGTACAAATGGCTGCCGAGCACTCATGGTTGTCTGTAGAAAGAGACTTCAAGCTTCAAGCTTCAAGTGTCGAGGTCGTGATGGTCTTAGCGAAAGGAGCGACGCTTTCAATTCGCCGCGATACACGCGAGTGATGGCAGCTTAGTTGGCGCCTAGTACTCAATTGGCAAGGTAGCTACCGTAGTACGCCATGGCAAGCTAGCTACCGTAGTACGCCACATCGTTCACCTCATCTAGTTTCTAGTTGAACATATCTCGCACGAGTAGAGAGAAACAAAACAATACAAAGGGTTTAGGGTTATTTAAAATTTTCTGCTTTTGCAAAAACACTGGACATTCAGGGGTTTGAACCCTGGACCTTATGCACTTCACACTTGAGGATGCAAAGCATACGCGCTACCACTGTGCCAAATGCCCATAAACATAAGCGCCATTTGTATAAATGATATTGATCTCAGTAGATTTCGAAAGCTGGCTTCAGTTCCAAGGGCTGGAGAGCCTGCTTGAATGCGCATCATCGTTCGGCTGGTAGCAAGTGCTTTATGGAAACCGCATTCAAAGCATTCACTATAATAAGCACACAGGTATTACTTCGCCTCGCCGACCAGCTTCTCGACAATGTCCACCGCCCGCTTGAACTGGGTCTTTTCCTCTGCTGAAGCCTGCACCGAGCTGTGTCCTCCGCCGCACCCTTGCGGGCCTCCATTCATCCACATGAGGTCGTCACTGCCGAATGCGATGCTTGTATCCAAACCGTAGATATCTTCGCTTCCCGGCGGAGACTCGATAGGAAGCTTCTTTAGGATACCGTGTAGTTCGTCAAGCAACTTCACTGTCTCTGGGTCAGAAGCAGATAGTGACTTGGGAACAGCGTCCTGGAGAGTAGGTGTGCCGTCCGGGCGTATCGCAGACGTGACATGCAAGTCCGTAGTGGGTGTACCCGTGATCGTGAAGATCGCACTGGGTGTGGGTGGGGCAAACCCGCCAGTGATGCCTATGCGTTAAGATCTATGTCAGCACCCTCAGATGTCCATTGATCCCTCCAAAAGTACCTTTCTGGAGACGAAGGGAGAATTCAGCAGGTGCCATTATGGTACAGTATATAACGTCTGGCTTCAAATCGATGAGGATGGGTATACGAGTAAGATGTGGTACGAAACAAGAGTGAGCTGGAAAGATGAATGACGATCCGAGTAGATATACGGCCGCGATAAGAGGCGGGCCACAGCCTCGCTCTTTGACGCGTCCTCGCGTCACCGGCTCTTGCACCACACCGCCCCGCAGCTAGCTGCTACGCGTCGCGTGATATCATATACTGCGCGTCCGAGTCACCCGCAATGGAGGTACAGCATCCATGCAATACTAGCAATGCAGCCTCAAGCAATAACGCAGTCTTCCTTGAAACTAAGGTTGTACATCGTCTTATCTACCGTCTTCTCTATTTTCTTCCAGTCAGATCGTCTCTGGATAAACTCGTACACGTCCTATTGATTTTCGGTAAGGGATTGAAGCTATTCAGACACAGTAGCAGAAAATCCTACCTCAGGACGGTATGCACCACCGTAGCGCGTTACATCCCTCACGATTTGGGCGAGATCTTTCGCGTCTTCGACCACGAATACATGTCCCAACATTTTCAAGTATGAAAACTCGGACGCGATTGCTGGTATCTGTCAGACGGCTGTAAGTACCAGGCCTCCCTCCATGTTACGCGTTGCGAAAGCTTTACCTTCAACGAGAGGATGAACGCATGGTAGGCATTGAGGTCTGCAATGATCTGGAATCCCCCGTTCAAGGAGATAATCTGCCGCTTGATGTGCTTCTGCAGAATTCTGTATCTTGGACTCAGTATGCGAATATGTCGGTTCTCACAGTGCACACTCACGCGATCAGCCGGATGCCTATCTCCTGGTAAAATACCTCCAAGACCTCCTTGCTAGTACTTCCTTTCAGTAGCTGACAGTGCATTTGCAAGCACTTAATAGCTTCTCTGCAGCCTTCTGTAGGGCCCAGCTCCAGCGGCTGGTCTTCTGGCGGATAGTACTCTCTGGGCTTAGTGAGCTTCATGATGATATGCTCAACCTGCGAGCGAAGTAGGCGATAATTAGAGATATGACCGAGGTGTGGTATAAACACGTACTTGGTTCATTAGCGTCTCAGTGCCCATATTGAGACCTGCCGCAACAGAATCATCGAGGACGTCTTCAAACCGTTTTTTCTCCCGTACGACAGTATTCAAGAAGTCCGTCTTGTCAATATGTGGTGCCTAGAACTTAAACACTCAGCACTTCTAAAACCCACACACAACAACGCACGTACAAGTTCCTTGTCAAAGTACACTTGTACCATCGACTGCATGGTATCACCGATATGTACCAGCTCGAAGAATTGCAGCAGAGGTGCGACACTATTCGTCTCTTCATGTTCTGCCGGTCGATACGCGCGCATTTGTGCCGTCGCCTGCTCGAACCCAGGGCGTATGTGTCGCTCACTCAGCGCCTGGAGTAACAACACGAAGATCTCCTCGATTGTATCTCGTACACGATGTCCGCATTGGCCCGGGTACCCTGAGAACGTCTCTGCGCGCTTCAAGGACTCGCGGTCGGCATGGATGAGCTCGAGAGCAGTATCCAGCGAAAGTAGCAGTTGTAGCTTGTCGAAATCAGGCTTCGTCAGCGTAGCCGGCGGAGGCAGAGGAGTGGAAACTCGAGTCGATGTGGAAGAGATAGAACCCGGTCTGCTACCTGCAGTGAGTGTGCTTGTAGTCGCAGTAGACGTTACCGACGAGACGGATGCTTAGGAAGTGAGCATCGATCAATGGAGATAGTGTGAAGCAAAAGATGGAAACGACCTACATCGTTTCGTATCATCCTCTTTGATTCTTCCGTTTACACCTTTCTCGTCTTCTTCGTCGTCATCTGCCCCAACATCGAACAACATGGCATCTCCGCCGTTGTTGAAGTCCATATAACCCTCATGTACGTTGTTGTTGTTCGTGTTAGTAGCACCCCATCGCTGTGGGTTCAACATGGCAATTCCTTGTACGGCAGCATTTCCGCCAGTCGTCAGTGCCGCACCGAAGGCCTTGCCAACCGCCACAGTTGTACGAGGCACAATGGTCACCGGCAGCAGAAGAACATCCGTAAATGAAGCAAGCACATTGCGCTTGACTTGGGCTGGGTTATGCGAGCCGAGGAAACGAGCTTGTTCCTGCGTCGTTGTAGGGACTGTCCCATGTTGTGAGAGCTGGAACTCAAGTCAGGCATGCAAAACAAGAGGAAACAAGACGGCAGACGTTTGTCTCCCATGCCCGGCAAATCATTTCGAAGCACTGTTTTATGTACTCCACTTCTTCATCAAGGTATTCGTCCATGTTTGCTTCGAACATTCGATAACTAGAAGATTTGTAAGTAAGCAGTCGACAATACTAACGTACTGGCTTCACTTACACCACGTCCTCGGCTTGGATCCGCGTCACTGTAGCGTCACTACGTTCTGACGAGACTTGGACGATCATGTCGACCATTCGCCACGCCTCTTTGAAGCTAGCAGCGGTAGCTTTGAGGAAGGTCTCATTTGAGATTTCGCGCGCTCGGGTGAGGAGGGATGTAATGTATTCTGCTACCTGAAGCAATGATGGACAAAACACTCTTCTCTTTCAGTCTAGAACGACGTACAACTTCGTTTGCTACTCTTTCCGAAAAGGAAAGCAGAACATTGGCAGCTGGGGGGAAGACGCGGACGGCCCGGCCGCCGTGTTCCTTCAGTACCGCAAGTATGTCCGTGATAAACGCGTCCATAGCGTCGAAGACCAGTGCTTCATCCTTCCTGAACAACATAAGTTGTAATACGTACAGAATACAGCAAGACTTACGTGAAGTTGTCTAATGGGTCCCATTTGCTCTGGTGATCATAGAAGATCTCATGCTTGTCTGACCACACCCGGCCGAGCTCCCAGTGACCGTCAGCCAGATCCCATACAGACCAACTTGCGTCTGCGACCTCCGCCATGGCCTTTTCGTCGCCTTTGCTGTCGTTTACATCAAACGCAGTTAATAGCCCTTCGCCGAATAGATCCATAGCAGCACGTAGTGAGGACGTCAAGGTCTGCCATGATCGCAGAGGCTTCACTCTATGGGAGAAGAATCTAGATAGCAAGCGTAGCGTAAGGGCCTGTTGATTCAGTGTCGGTGACGGTGCGGGGAAGAGTGCCGTTAATATGGCATGCGGCGGGGCCGACAAGGCAGAGACGAACGGCTTTAGCAGGTTATGGGCGCGGATGTACTGGGTACGGAAGTTCGGCTTCGTAGGTGTCCATGTTGAGGTCTCCGGACTCATAAGGGTTGCACTAGCAAAGCTCGTGACGAAATCGCCCATCCCCTCCGCAGGCGCGTTAACGTCAGCAAAGTCTCCAAATTCATCGTCTTCTACGGCTAGGGTCGGAGGTGCCTGACCTTTGCGCGCCCCATTCTGTACTTTGGCACGAGACTCAAGGTCGTCCAGGATGCTGGATAGGTTGAGCTGGTCCACCCCAAAAGCTTTCCACCGAGCCTCCCAGACACGTTCATCCTTAGTGAGCTTGGCGAGGGCGCGGGAGACTAAGGAGTAAGCAGGGATGTCCGGCACAGAAAGATATGTAAGGATGAGTATATGGACGTCTACAGGTAGTCGTCCTATGAATGAGAAAGGCGCAGGACCCCCTTTGGCTGAGAGTGGTTGCGAGAAGCGTTTCGAGGACGGCCCAGTGACGGCGGCATAGAGCCTGACCGGTTCCAAAGTCTTGAATTTATCCATCAAGTACGATCACAGTAGAACACGCATGTGTAGTTGGGATAGATGAAGAGTGTGTGAAAAGTATTCAAAGGGAGGGTAGTAACCCCTGCCTGTTCGTCGTGGTAGCCGGAGTGGAAGGATCGCAGCGACAAGACGCATCGGCGCGCACAAGCGATGCGCTGCGCGCCGGTTGGTAGCGCGCCGGCGGGACCGTACCAGAATACACCCGAGGCTATAAAGTGCCTTGAAAGCCATGTTACACACAGTTATACCGATACAGAAGTACTACACGACTATAGGCTGTCCTAAAGTAATCCAAAAGTCCATCTGATACAAATGTATAGCCCTCTGCTCAGCTCTGTACCAGCAATTCACTGAGCGCGATCATATGAGCTTCGCATATTGAGGAGAAGTAAAATTCGTGTTCAGAGTTATGGGGCTTGACAAGATTATGCGCAATCTCGTGAGCGAGGGTAAAATACCTAGAAGTGTGTTGATGTCACCGCGCGTACGGCCAGCTATGAACAGCTGCTTACCAGGAGATGAAGGCCTGACCAAACCGCCCCTCCTGTACGTCCGTGTCGTCTATAATATAGACGTACCGTCAGTATTGACTTGGTCTATACGGGTTCTAAGATACTTAC